CCCATCCCCATCCATCCATCCATCCACACCCCCTGCCATCCATCCATGCATCCATCCCCAGATCCACCCCTCTGGGCATCCTTACACACTCCTCTATCACTCAGTTCATCCATCCCCCCATTCATCCATCCCTACACACTTCTCTCTCTGCCCATCCATCTATCTACCGCTCACTCATCCGCACAAATATCCATCCATCCATCCCTTCCCCACACACTCCATCCTGTCTGCCTGTCCATCCATCCAGCCATAAACCTGCAAAGTTGCATCGGCTGTAGGGGGAACAGGCAGTCATATTTTCCAGGTCAAGGTATACGGGGCCAGAAGAATTGGAAAACCATTGGCGGAGGCTACAGTTGTAGGAGAGAAACAGCCCAGCTGGCTGAGGAGCTGCCTTGAGAAGGTCCCAGTGGGGAGTGGGGCCAATGGAGAAAGGAACTGAGCTGCAGAGAACATCTGGGAAGCCAATGGGTTGAGATGGTCCAAAGTCTTGATGGTGATAGACCTCACCAAAGGACATGGAGATGAAAAGCATGAAGGTCTACTGATGTCTCCAAAAAGAGGACAACCAGGAACAGAGACCTCAGGATGCTGGGAAAAGGACCCAAAGCTTTGTCCCCAGCTGTCCTCAAAAAGAGGACCCAAGGATTCTGGGAAAAGGACCCAAAGCCTTGGCCCCAGCTGCTCTGGGGAGACAGGGGATGTGGTAGAAGTGGACTCCTTCAATCATGGAGGTTGGAGACCAGCAAAATATTTCTTCTTTTAGCAAGCAACAGCCATTGCATTTATCCTGGGATAATTTGTGCCCCTGTTTGTCCTGGAATGAAGATATCCCATGATTGATGGATTGCCGTGGATCCAATGATGTCATTCTGGGGATAACCATTCAGACATCCCGTGAGATGTCCTGGGATAAATAAGTAGTACAGGATAGAAATAGCATGACTTCAAATGGCGGAAAGAGGGGTGGAAAGTAAATGAAGCAACCTATAGTGTCAAGGGGAGATCATCAAGTGGAAACCCTCCAAGGCAGGGGGTTGTTGAGGGGCTGTAGGGGATGGGGGCCTTACCTCCATTTTCCAAGTCAAGGTGGTCCCATAGAGGATCTTTCCACCCCTCTTTCCACAATTTGAAGTCATGCTATTTCCAGCTGGATATTCCAATCCTCCTCCGGCGGTCAATGCCTCTGGAGAGCAGGCTGGAGGATCTTGGCTGAAGCAAAGGATGATGGGAGATGGGGGACTCAGAGTGTGCAAGGGCCAGGGTGGGAGAAGAGGTCTGGGGTGAAGTTGGCAGCAAAGGAAGGGGGAAGGCAGGGGGCAGGAGGGATGTGGAGCACTCAGCATGTGGGGGGCAGGGGAAATGCACTGTGCAGCCTGGGGGGGG